GATAATATATGTTTCGCCCAGTGATATCTGGGCTACCTCCCTCACATCCGTCATCCGAGCAGTTCTTGGAGCTGCCCTGTGTGTCCCATGCCAATCCGGAGGGCAATTTACCTCTGGTAGCCTCCCACACTACTCCATGCCATCACTTCGGATAATCAGGCTTTGGCTAGCACAAGAAATCTCAGAGGAGGTCCATAGATTTAGGGGCTGAATATTGAGTCTGGTTTATCTAGCAACAACAAAAAAACCCCCAATTTAAATCAGTCATCCTGGCAGCTTGTTAGCCATAGCAGAAGACAAGCGTAGGAAGGATTTGAAGCTATTATATAAATCAAAATGAAATTGCGGGAATCATACATAGATTTCAACAATGTTTTCCTCACGTAGGTATAGAACAGTGGTGTTTTTTTTTTTCTGTATATTGGCCCTGAAGGCACCACAGGCTACAAATCCACTCTAAGGATTTTTGCTAGGATGGGTTCCTAGTTAGACTATATGTTTAATTATCTCATCAATGTGAATATTTCCTCTACCCCTGCAGTGGAAAGGGAACACTGGCTAAAAGTGAGTGTTGATTGTTACTGTGGCCAAAGATATATGATTCTCAAGTCCTTTCTGCCAGATATTATTTCCGTTGTAGAGAGAAGTTCCTATTTTTTAAAAAATCTAAATATTATCTCATTTGATCTTCACAACGATCCTGTGAGACAAGTGCTGTTATGTCCCCAGTTTTATAAAGTTTGAGGAGTGAGGCAAGCACATGGCTCCAGGGTCCAACTGATGTTAGTTAGATGGCAGAAGAGGCATCAAATGAGGATTCAATTGACTGTGACTATGTTCCCTCCCAGAGGACTCCACTGAATTTGACCTTAAGGAAACAAGTAGACCCACAGAAGAAGGCCTCTAGGTGCTCCCAAAGATTGTTCTGACAAGGAGTAGTCCCAAAAGTCTAGGTTCCCCTCTAGCATAAGTATCTAAACCTTAAAGAGAGAAGGGGGAGATGTCACTCTAGTCTATGGTCCTGGCCATCTTCAGACAGCATCATCTGGTCCAATTCCTTTCCCAAATTCTGTGAAAATTAGAATTTAGAAACAGACTAGAAAAAAGTTTTGTATCATACTAATCTGCCTTAGTAGCCATCATAAATCTATTACCCTTTCTGGCAGCTAGGTGGTGCAGTAGGTAGAGTGCTGGGCCTACAACCAGGAAGACTCCTCTTCCTGAGTTCAAATCTGGTCTCAGGCACTTATTAGTTGTGACCCTGGGCAAGTCAGTTAACCCTGTTTGCCTCAGTTTCCTCATCTAGAAAAAGAGTCAGAGAAGGAAATAGCAAACCACTCTAGTATCTCCACCAAGAAAACCACAAATGAGGTCATGAAGAGTTGTAAGTGACTGAAAAAAATGACTGAACAAAAAAAAAGTTGTCCTTGCTGCCCAGAAAATATATTTCAGCCCTCTGCCCCAAAGCAAATTGGCCAGATGCTGCATCCACACTGATCAGGGCCTCCAAGATGCATGTCAATGTCTCTTAGTTGAAGGCCTTTGAATGTGCCACCCTGTCTTTATCCCCTAAGTGTTTGGAGTCAGATAACAGGGTAGAAGCAAAAGTTTGATGATATATCTATCTGACTATTATAGCAGACTGCTTGCCATTTAAAAACAAAACAATGCAAAACAACATCTCAGAAGCCAAGACCCGGAGAATTCATTACAATCATTGTCCTTGCAAAAGTTCATCTCTGGTTTCCAAGAGATTGTTCCCAGGATGTTCAGAATTCTATTATAGGGTGGGAAGCAAAACCCATTACTGAGGTCACTGCAGCACCAGGGTATTTTGACAACAAGAAGGTGGCAGAAAATCAATTCTGACCCAGGCCAGACTTAGGGTGTTGCAAATTAAAAATGAAAAGTCTTGCACATGGGATCTCCCCAAACATGGCCATAATTATAAGAGAACAACAACTCCCTGCAAATGTGCTATCTGTAACTATTGAAATAAAAAAATCTGGCCACTGGAAAGTGAGTGTCTTTTTGTCTTTCTCAACCAAGCATGCAACAATGATTGAATCCTTGGACCAACTTGATTTTTAGCTTTTGTCTCTGAGACCTAGTATACCTCAATATTAGCTATGATGTCATACAAGAAGTAACATGAAAGATATCATTAAGGGCATGCATGGTTGGAAAAGGTAACAGAACACTAGTATAGTGTTCTGAGAAACTGGGATATTTTCCTGATTAGAATAACAACTGATAGGGGAAACAAAATCTATCTTTTCCTCCAATATCTAGCCCCCAGTCTTTGTGCCAGCAAACAAAGTGTAGGCTGTGGGCATTGAAGAGAACCTGGCTAGGTGTCCTTTCTCTCCTATCTCAGAATGTCTGAAGGTGCTTTCTTCTTCTCTGACAAGCTTGGTCTCAATTTACTAGGGTAGAATTTGTGATGCAAATTGAATGCTACAATAACATGTAATTTTAAAGCAGTCCTCCTTGTTTTACTTAATTTTAATGCTCTTAACTTTATGGCCATATTACTCCTACTGTACCCTAACTACAATCTTCCCCTGTTCTTTCTTTTTTCTTTTTTTCTTTTTTTTCTTTTAGGCAGTTGGGGTTAAGTGACTTGCCCAGGGTCACACAGCTAGTAAGTGTCAAGTGTTTGGTCTGAGGTCAGATTTGAACTCAGGTACTCCTGACTTCAGGGCCAGTGCTCTATCCACTGCACCACCTAGCTGCCCCAACAATCTTTCCCTGTTGCAACAGGGACAAATGAATAAAGTCATTTTAGTAAAAAGGACCTATGGTTTCAGAAATTTTGAAAAATGCAAGCCCTGTTCTTTTCAAGGTAAAGCCTTGGAGGTCCCCTTCCTCTATTGCTTAATACCATCACTCACAACAGGCAATGGAGGGATTCAGCCTGATCATCATTGATTTTAGGTCCCAAGTTGTCTTTGTAACAATTCTCCATGACTACTCCTATTTCACCTCTTCTGAAACTAGGTAAGACTCATCCTGACTTTCCTGTTGCTGGATTTGTCCAAGACTTATGTGCTCTTAAGAATTTTGTTATTCATAGCCACATGAAAGTACTGAACCCAGCCTTAGAATTCTCAGCTATCCTTACTGATATTGGTCTACACCTATCTATCTGATGCTTTGTTTTTTCATTAGTTGTTCACTGGGACTCTCAATTTCTTTTTGCCTTTTAGTTTGTCTCTCCTCATCTAATTCGGACTCAACTTCTTTAGTGGTTAGGGAACTGATTCAAATTTATCAGTGTCAGAACCAACTTCTAAATGATTAAAGGATATAAACAGTCAGTTTTTCAAGGAAAAGTCCAAGCTATCAGCAATCATATGGGAAAAGTTACCTAAATCATAAATAATTAGAGAAATGCAAATTTAAGCAACTTTGAGGTTCCACCTAACCCCCATCAGATTAGCAAAGGTGACAAAAAAGGAAAATTACAAATGCTGGAGGGGCTGAGGGAAAATAAAACATACACACACATATACATACTTACATACACACACAAATATTGATAGCAGCTCTTTTTGTGGTGGCAAAAAATTGGAAACTGGGGGATGGTGCCCATCAACTAGGTAATGGTTGAACAAATTATGGCATGAGAATATAATGAAATACTATTGTATCATAAGAAATGGCTTTGGAGAAACCTGAGACTTGTATAAAATGTTGGAAAATTAAGAGAACAAAAGCATGAGCACAATTTATATGACATTATAAAGACAAATAATGTTGAAAGAGTTGAGAACTCTGATCAATGTCATTACCAACCCTGATTTCAGAACATCCATAATGAAGTATCTTGTCCCTATCCTATTTGATAGGTGATGGACTCAATGTGAACAAAAGGGAATATTTTTTAGAATGTGGCCAGTGTGGAAATTTATTTTACTTGACCATGCATATTTCTAACAAGGGTTTGGTTATTTTTCCCCTCTCTGGGGGAAAGGGGAAGGAGTAAGAGAACAAATATCTTTGTTAATTAAGAAAACAAAGTTTAAAAAATCCAAAAAATAAGAACTTGACATATAAAAGCACAGTGGTAAGTTTGTTCAAAAATTCCTCTGATTATTAATATTAAGTGAGACAAAAAAATGGGAAGGGAACTGTTGTCTAAAGGTTTTTGCCAATGTTATAGAGTCTGTCTGATGCAAAGTCCACATGGAAATGAATTATCTATGAATCGTCAAATTCTATAGATGGTCCTGTTTTCAATTGACATTTTGCTGATTGCATCAAACCCCAGGGTATTATTCATGTTCCTTCAGGAGATGGTCATTCAAAAGTGATTGCATAAGCAATACACACAGGAAGAACAAAGTGAATGAAGAATGCACATGGAACATATTTTGAAATGAAGTTAGAGATTGCTAGCTTACTGAGTTAATTTATCTGTACATCGATCTTGGAAAGGCACTGCTTTTTGACAATGAGCTGAAATCTGAGACAAATAGTAGGAGAAAACTGGGCTATATGGCAGTTGAGAAATTGCATGGCACATCCAATGATCAGAAGCTGCTTCCTGCTGCCAAAGCCCATCTTTTCAACATCAATAATCTCCTGCTGGTGTTATATGACTCTGAACCATCAAACAGCACAATCTTAAAGGAATCAAGACATCATATTACCCAAAGAGCAATGGAAAAAGAAGTATAGGGGGTGTAATATTAGCTATGATGTCATACAAGAAGTAACATGAAAGATATGATTAAGGTCATGCATAGTTGGAAAAGGTAACAGACTGGTCATAGGACTGGTCAGTCTTAATGGATACATAGGTTGATGGTTTAACTAATGTTATAAAATCTTAAGAGATCCAGAAGGTTACTAATGCATTGAGTAGTTCTTTAATGAAGTATTTCTAATTGGTTATGAACAAGAATTGCACAAGATCAGAAGTCAGAGATGGCTTCTTGCCTTTATTGGTGGAGAGAGAGAGTTCTCACAGTTTAAGTCATGTATCCACTGAAGAACCTAAATACCCAGAAAGATTTTAGGAAGAAATTCTACATCTCTAGATAGTTACTCATTCAAGAGTTGAACTCTCTCTTTATAATATAATGATCACTATCATTATAGTCTAAGTGATTGATGTATGGTCACATAGCTAATATATGTTAGATAATATAAGTGATTGGTCTATGGCTACATAGATAATATATGCATGACGACTCCAGGGCTTCTTGACTCTTCTTCAGTAGACAACACTGGTTATTCCTTACGTCATACCAAAATTCTGCATGCTGTAATTTGAGAACCTTTTGGATTTTCTGCAAAATCAAGCAAAACAAAACATGTCAAGTATTCTTTGTGTCCAAGAAACTGTCTTGGGTAATTTGGGAAGCTACAAAAGAAAATGAAGACATGGACTTTGTTGTTTAGAAATGTACATGCTAAGTAAGGAGATATAACACAAATCCCAAATAATGGAAGAAAATTACTCAATCAGTTAGTAGTATTAATTGAGCATCTGCTAGGTGCTGAAGATTGTGCCAGGTACTATGAAAGATACAAAAGAAATTGAATATATAGACCCTGTCCTGAAGAAGCTTATAAATGTGTGTGTGTGTGTGTGTGTGTGTGTGTGTGTGTGTGTGTGTGTGTGTGTATAAGGGGAATGATAAAATAATAAGAACTTGTTAAAAGCCTGATATTTGCCAGGGACTTTGCTAGGCATGGTTGATTTAAAGAATGAAACAATTTATACCCTCAGGAAACTTTCATTCTACTAGGGTAAAAGCCTCATCATATATAATTATGCACAAAATTATTACAAGAAGATTTGGGGCAGACATTAGAACTGATTGGGAGGATATTTAGAAAGTTTTAATACAGAAAGTGGAATTTGATCTGAGTTTTGAAGGAAGCTAGAGATTCTATAAGGTAGAAATGAGAAGTTGCTTTCAAGTGATAGGGGTGGTTTAGAAAAAAATGTTCTAAATCACTACCAATTAGAGAAATGTAAATTAAAGCAACTCCACCTGATACCTATCAGATTAGCAAAAATGATAAAAGAAGAAAATGCCAGCTGTTGGAGGTGCTACAGAAAAACAATTCCATGCTTTGGTGGTAGACCTGTGATGTGTAACTGCCATTCTGGCGAGTAATTTTTAACTATGCTCCTTAAGTACCATACTATACATACAATTAACCTAGAGACACTATTACTAGGCCTAAGCTGCAAAGAAAATCACAGAGAAAGTAAAGGGGTCTATATATGCATGTATTTATAACAACTCTTTTTTTAATGTGGTGGCAAAGAACTAGAAATTAAGGGAGTATCTTCTGAATGGAGAATGGCTGAACAAATTGTGGTATGTGAATATAATAGAATATTACTGTACCATAAGAAATGATGAAATGAACAGTTTCAGAAGAAATCAGAGACCTCTAGGAATGTATGCAGAGTTAAGCAAGCAGAGCCTAGAGAACAATTTATACAATGATAGCAATACAATATAAGAAAAATAACTTTGGAAGATTTTAGAGTTATGATCAATGTAATGATAAACCATGATTCCAAAAGAATGAAGACCCAATAAAATACCTACTTCCTTTTATATAGTCAATTTGAGGATAGAGTGCTGAGCCTGGAATCTGAACACCTAATTTCAAATCTGGCATCAGATACTCGTTAGCTGTGTGACCCTGGGCAAGTCACTTAACCTATATTTGCCTAAGTTTCTTCATCTGTAAAAAAGGCTAATAATTGAGATAAATAATATATGAGATAATAAATAATAAATGATATAATAATTATAAAATGCTTAGCATAATTCCTGGGACATAGTTAAGGGTTAATGATTATAAATATTAATAATAATAATTATTATTATTATTAATTCCTGTCAGGTAGGTCATGAATTTAAAATGCAAAAAGAAACAGATATTTTTGCATAAGACCAATTTGGGAATTTGTTTTGCAAGACTGTGAATCTATGTATTGAGATATTCATTTTTTTCCTTTAATTTGCTTAATTGGAAGATAGTGGGAGATGCATATTAAGAAAGAAAAAAAGAAATGTATATGTGTATACATATGTATGTATTAAGAAATGATTCTCTGGTAGTAGGAAGGGAGATGTATATGTGGGAAATTTGAGTGATATAAAACATTTCAGTAAAATTTTACTTAAAGAAGACACAGTTTGAAATATCTAAAAGGCAATTTGTGATGTAGGATTGTGGAGCTCAGGAGAGAGATTAGGGCTATGTATAAATATCAAGGCATTGTCTGCATTGAGATGATGATGCATCCAGGGGAACTGATGCGGTTATCTAGAGAGAAGAAAAGAGAGTCAAGGAAAAAACCTTGGTATGCACCCAAAGTTAGGGGATCTGAATGGTGATCCATGAAAAGAAACTGAGGTAAAAGGGTTAGCAAAAAAGTGCTGCCATGAAAATCAGTAAGAAAGATACTGATTCTGCCTAGCCAGGGCTGATTCTGCCTAGCCACATGAGGAGGTGGGGTGGTGGTGGTGGCAGGAAGAAGCATGCTATAATGCAGGGAATCAATTCAAAAATCCTTCCCCATCTTCCTTCAACTGTGATTTAAAAACAGCAGATCTTGATTCAACCCATCCAAATAAGGAATAAGTGAAAGCCAAAGGGAGAAAAAAGATGAGAACCTGGGAAAGAAGAAGGGGAATGGGAGGTAGCTAAGGAATGTGAGTGTCTGCCCAAGCCTGAAGAAAAAGATAGGTTCAATCCTCTTGTCCCACTCTAATCTATTTAATAGAGTGATTAGGCAGGAAAAATCTAAAACCCCAATATGGGAAGTGGGTCAGGCAGCTTTGTAATCCAACTCCATCAAAGGAGAAGGAGTCAGAATGTGAATGATAGGGAATATAAAGAGAGGAAATAAAGATTGAAACAAGAGGTTTCAAGAGAAAAAAGTTCATTTCAAGAGAAAAAAACAGATAAATCTACAGAGAATATTTTAAAATTAGAATAAAAGGACGAGTGCTGTTCTCAAAGAGGGTGTAAGTTCTCTTAATAAGCATTAAAAGACAAAAAAAAAGTTTGGTAAAACACAAAATTCTGTGGATTCACAAGGAACCATATAACAACAATAAGAAAGTTCATAATAGTTTAAAAGGGAAATAAAATGTGCATGAGAATAAATTAGAATTAAAGTCAGAATTCATAGCTTTCACATCAGCAATATAGAATATTAGAAAAAATTCAATCCATGGAAATGTTTCTACAAAGAAGTGAAACACAAAATAACAAACTTGAAATATAAGAATGATGAATTAGAAGGAAAACTGGCAGAAAAGAAATAAAACATAATGTTAAAAAACTTAAAACAAACCTGTAAAGCCTAATTATTAATGAAAAAAGATGAACATTCAACAAAAAGAGGCACTTCATGAATTCCTGAAAAAACAAACAAATAAATGAAAAACACCAAATACAAGACCTGACAAGAGTATACAATTTGCAAACACCTCAAACAACAGAAATGTAAGAAAGTACAAGCGCAATTACAAAGAATGAATATGAAAATTAATTAAGCCATGACTAGAAATTATTTAAACAAACAAAAAAAGAGGATCTCTGTCTCTGTCTCTGTCTCTGTCTCTGTCTCTGTCTCTCTCTCTCTCTCTCTCTCTCTCTCTCTCTCTGTCTGTCTCTCTCTCTGTCTCTGTCTCTCTCTCTCTGTGTCTTCCTTAAAAGGCATCTTGCAGAGATTAAAAAAAAGTACACAAGGGATTTAAGGCCCAAGTAGAATTTAAAGAAATAGAAGTGAAAGTAGAGGAATGGAACATGAAATAAATCCCCCAATGATTCTTACAGTGAATCATTGTATTTAGTGGAACCAAAGTGTGGCTTGGGAGACTGCATAAATGTAGAGAAGGAAGGTGGAGAATAAATGGGAATCTGTGATATTTCTGCATCTACCTCCTAGGTGAACAGCAAAATGAATGATCATTCAAAGCCTTTCAGCAAGAAGAAGGGTTGCAGGAAAATTGCAGAAGTAGATGGTATTGAAACTAGAGGAAATGAAAGAGAGAAGTCTGAATACAACAGGGGAGAATGTTCAATGAAAAAGAACTCCCATAGGGAAGAAATGTATTGTTAGTGGTAGAGTTTGTGAACTTAATGATGGGCTTAATCAGAAGGGAATTGATATACTGGAAGAACATGCTTTGAAAGGTTTTGCCTTCATATACAACATCCTCTCTCAGGGGAAGGGACATTCAAGCTGGCATCCAGTATCCAGCACTGTTCTTGCCAATAATTTTTCCTTACAGTTTAGTTTCCCAACCTTGCTATATAGTACACTATTGATATATAGTTGAATTAGAAAGTTCGACTTGTTGCTGATGAAAATGACTGGGAAGAATAAATAAGTTGTCTCTGTTTTAAAGTATGCTTTTGTAAAATCTTTAAGAAGCAAATAATGATAGAAAGGGTATTGTATAGCAGTGTCTATGTGATCCTGTCTGTCTATATCTCTGACTTTCTGTTTCAGCCTCCTCCCCCATCATCAATCACTAGTATCCACTAGTTCAGTTGTCTTTCTTTGCAAAGGACAAATCATCAAGAAAAATACATTGGCCTTATTTGAAACTGCATCTCATTCTGTGCTTACTGTTAAGAAACTTTACAATTTTTTTTTGTATTCCCAAATTGTTATTGTCTCTTTTGTGCCTTTGGAGAGACTCATCACTATGGATCTGCCTTTCTATTCTGTTATTTTTTTCTGTGCAGGTCATACATTTTGTCATTTGTTCTTGTCTAAATTTTTCCCTTAAGATTCTGATTTCTCTCTTGTACCATTCTGGAACATCTGTCTATGTTTCCATGCACTTTTGTAATACATGGATTTCTATGATTCAACAAGAGTTTGTTTAATTTTCTTTTTCTGGCAATATTTATTTAGAGACATTTGCAATCTTTTAGATTTCTTATTACTCATGTTTAATTTGAGAATCTTTCTTATTGATTTATTTACTTATGCTTTTAAGTTTTTAATGCAATTTTATTTCTCCTTAGATTGTAGTCTTTCCCTCTTATGTTTCCTGTCAGTCAATGTCTGACTTTGACTGTGATGTTGGGTTTACTCTTGATGCTGGATCTCAACAACTGTCTTGTCTTCCTCCCATTTTAGGAAATTCACTTTTTACTAGCCTAAGTCCCTGCCCCAAGTAACTTCTTAGTGTACAGAGACGGTCTCAGCTGAATAGCAGTCCCCTTTCCTTCAGATCTGGTGTAACCCCATCACACTGGTATCCTGCCCTAGTGTCTTCCATTTTTTAGTTTTCTAGCTGCACTGTCAGAGTCTGACGCTTTTTCGGATTTGGGAAGAGTGAAGTCGTTAATCAAAGGAAAGTTTCTGCCACTTCAGTATTCTCTAAAGTAGGGGATACCCCAGGTTAAATATTACTACCCTGAGCAGAACATGGTATCCTATGATACCCCATACTTTGTTAACGTGACTTTGCAGGGTTGAGGTCCACTACCTGTAAAAACAGCATTTTAGGGTAAGAACAGGAGAGGCATATATCAGGAGAAACTGGATCAGCATAACCCAGTTGGTCAGGCTATGAGCTGGATGGTGGTGGTGGTGGTGCTGAGTGAGTGCTAAAGATTAATATCCTCCACTTTTAATTAATAAGACTATTACCTTACTGAGCATTTTGATTTCATGTCCTGTGGAGATAGCTGTGGTTACTCTACCTCTAGCATATAACTCTTCTCTTTTTTTTTTTTTTGAGAGTTAGTGAGGACTGGAGAAAATGTTTAGTCTGCCATCTTGATGGCCAAAGGACTTGTATACTTCATAATTTTTTTGAAGCCATCATTGATTACTACATTACTCAGAATCCTGAACTCTTTCAGTTATTTTACGTTTTATTATTGTGGTAATTGTGTAAGTTGCTGATGCATCACCTCCCACAGGCATGGTTTTCTGTAAGTAGTAAGGACCCTGGACAAGGAGTTTATAGCTGTCAGTCAATGCAACACTTCCAAATCACCCATCAGACCTTCCTGGGTCTTTATCTAACCTTGAAGTGAGATCTACTTAATCTTTGGCTTAGTTAACTCCCACTTTCCACATCTTGTCCTTTCCTTCCCACCCCTATCAAGCTTTCAAGGTCATTAATTTAATAAGCATTCTGAATGGATTAGATAAAAGGATAATAAAATGTAAAGTAACTGACACTAGCTGCATGATCCTGGCAAGTCACTTAACCATGTTTGCCTCAGTTTCCTCATCTGTAAAATGATTAAGGAAGGAAATGGCAAACCACTCCAGTATCCTTACCAAATGAGGTTGCAGAGAATTGGACTTGACTGAAATGACCGAACAATGACGACAACAACAATTGATGAAATCATCAAAAATGTGGCCCAATGAGTAGTGCAGTGGATCTGGAGTCAGGAAGACCTTATGGTCAGATCCAGCCTCAGACACTTACTAGCGGTCTGACCTTGCACAAATAATTTAATCTCTGTCTCCCATAGTTTCCCCAATTGTAAAATGTGGAAATAATAGTACCTATTTCCAGGGTTATTGTGAAGATCAAATGTGATAACGTTTGTAAAGTGCTTAGCACATGATAAGCTCTTGATAAGTGATTATTCTCTTCCTTCCCTCCTTCTCCCTCCATCCCAACAAATAGATTCCTCCCCCAGATGCCATTGTTGTTGTTGTTTCTGTTTTGCTCACTGCACTGTGGAATCACTGTAAGTCACTTAAAGGCCTGGTCTTTTACACATGATTTTCTGTCAGGCTACATATCTCCTTCATCTTAAACTTGTGCTCAGCAAGTCAGTTGACTTGTTTTATCTGATGTATAAGAATGTACGTCTATTTCATTATTTTGAAGAGCCATATTTTCATCACTGTAGGCATTTTCTCCTAACAGATTGCAATACCTGTGCAATTAAATGAACAGTCTTTGAGAGGTTCCATTTCTTGGAAAAAGTAATAAATTCTAGGCAACATAATGTCCCTCCTAAAAGTGATCTTTGGGAAAGTATCCAGAGGTGGACAACCAGAATGATGAAGGGATTGGACAGCATGCTATAGGAAGAAAGGCTAATTAAACCGGAGAGTTTTACCTTATGGAAGAGACAACTTAGGGAAGAAATGGTGGCTGTTTTCAAGTATTTGAAAGGCTGTCATGTGGAACAAAGGATTGGGTTTGTTTTGCTACAAAGAAAGGAAAGAAGGAAGAAAAGAAGGAAGGAAAGGAGAGAGGGAGGAAGGAAGGAAATAAGTAATTATTAAGTGTCTTCTAGTGCCAGACATTGGGCTAAGTACTTTACAAATACCTTATTTGATCCTCATAATGACCCTGGTAGGTAGGTGCCATTATATAGTTGAGGAAACTGAGGCACAGAGAGGTTAAGTGATTTGTCCAGAGTCACACAGTTAGTATCTAAGGTGAGATTTGAATTTGTCTTACTGGCTCCAAGCCCAACTCATTACCTTCTTCACCACCCATAGATGGCAGAGCTAGAATCAATGAGTAGAAGTTACAAAGAGGCAGATTTTGACTCTGCCCGAGGAAAAACTTACAAACAATTGGAACTATCTCAAGGTGAAGTGAACTGCCTTTGCGAAGTAGTGGGTTTCCTTTCCCCTCTAGAGGTCTTCAAGCCAAGGCTGGATGACCACTTGTGGGAGCTTTCACAGATAAGATTCTCATAAAGGTATAGGGTGGATTAAATGTCCTTAAAGATAATTTTCAGCTCTGCAATTAGTGATCTCCCTGTGGTCAGCCTACTGATCCATGTCACTAAATTTAACTAGGTAGATGCTTAGCTGACAATCAGGATCTCTGTTTCATTAAGCCCAAAAAAAGGACAGAAAAAGAAGAGAGAAATGTGGAGAGGGTTTATGTAAGAAGACAAACCACCACTCTGACCACCACCGTCATAGTTCCCCCTTTGTCACCTCTCATCTCCTTGGCAACAATCTCTGACTCTTGCTTGGGTATTATTACACAGTGGGAACAATGTGGGGTGCTTCCAACTCACCATTCTAACTGAAACTTGCTAAAATTGAGGCCAAGAGATAGATTTATTCCCCTTCAGGAGAAAGATAGCTATTGGATGAATGTAGATTTAATCAGTAGCTCAGTGTTTTCACATATATTTGAAGGGTCCTGTGGTTTCCAAGAGCCTCCTGCTGGAAACCCATAAGCTATGCTTGACAAATAATTATGGGCACTAGTGATTGCTATAACAGGAGAAAGATCTAACATAAGTGTTGATAAATTGGCTAAAGGAAACATAAAGTAAATATTATGGCCATTTTTTTTTCTACAGCATCTCAGTTTTCTCACATTTCTAAAGCGTGTTACTTGCTGAGAGCATTTAGACTTTGCTCTTGAAATCTTTGAATAATCATTGATTTTTCTAATAGATTTTGCATTTAGTTTTGAAGTACAAGAAATACCACAGCATAGATATTTGGCACAGTTGTAAACACATTCATTTAATGTTCTTAGTAGATATATATTTTCCATGATCAAATTCATTCCTACTTGAAGTCTCCTGGAGAGCTTCCTAGAGCCAATTTACCTTTTCTTTTAAAATCTCTATCGCTCCATTCCTTCATTCACTCCCCTATTTGGTCAATATTGATTATCCTGTGCAAAAATAATACTATGTGAAAAGTTGTAAAGGTTACAAAGGAAGCAGAATAAAAAGCCTTAGACTAACTTTAATATTACTTTGCTATATGATTTTGGTCCTGTGAACAACACCTTTTGTCCTCAGTTGCCTCATCTGCAAAATGAATCGGTTACGTTAGATAACATTTGATGGTCTCTTTCAGCTTTTAAATTGTGATTCTTAAAGAGTTTTACAACTGAGCTGGAAAAAATGATCAACAAGCACTTATTAAGTGCTTACTATTTGCAAGACCCTGGGGGCTAATACAAAGACATAGATGAGAATCCCTGACATCTAAGAGCAGGAGGAAATGAGTACATATGTAGCTCTATAGAAAATAAATAGACATATTGCTCTATAGAAAACAAATATATATGTAGCTATATACAAAATAAATACAATGGGAGAGGGTTGCTAGTATCTGATGAATCAGGAAAAGTCTCATATAGGAATTAACATTTGAGCTGAGTTTTGAAGAAAGTAAGAATTCTAAAAGGTGGAGGTGAAGAAGGACTACATTTCAGCCACAGGCACAGGCCAGTGAAATGTGATAGAGATAGGAAATGGAATAGTGTGTGTGTGTGTGTGTGTGTGTGTGTGTGTGTGTGTGTGTGTGTACAACAAGGAGGCCAGTTTTATGGAAATAGATTGTGGAGGATTTTTAAATGTTAAACAGAGCAGTGCATATTTGACTCTAAGGGTAGTAGGGAGCTACTGCAATTTATTGAGCAGGGAAACAATGTGGCCAGATAATAACTCATGTTTATATAGCACTTCCTGATTTACAATTTTTTCCCCAAAACAACTCTCAGGTAGCTGGTGAAAACATTGTCTCAGTTTTGTAGGTGAGACAACTGAGGGTCAAAAGGATTCAGCGATTTACCCCTCATCACAGAGGGGCAACAGCAAAGTATTGGAGCTGGTACTTGAATCCAGGTCTTAAGAGTAAATCCAGTTCTCTTTCCTCTCTACACTATGTAGCCTTTGTGAAGTTTCAAATTGCTAGAAGACACTTGAAATTGAGACCTTACTGTGCAGAAGCCCCCATCATTCTGTCTTGAGGGGCACGTTGTATCATTCATTTCAAGGAGTATTTATTAAATATCTACTCTTTGCAGTTCAGTGTGCTGGGCCTGGGGAAGATGGAAAGTTCAAATATGAAAAACCTGCATTATATCATGGAGTCTAACAAATGATCACATAGGAACACATAGGGAGGTATTTGGATCATGACCTACTTTTAATCACTATATTCCGGCTGCCGAGTCAATGGGAAAAAATGCTATTCTCTAGCCATTTATAGCATGGGACCACAAGTGTAGGCTCTGAAAGAACTGAGTATTGCAGGATTTAGAGCTTGGAGGGGTTTTATAAATCATCAAGAATAGCTCTTACTCAATTTTCTGGACGTGGAAATTGAGGCCCAGAGAAGAAGAATGTTTTGCCTGTCTCATGAGTCATAAATGATAGATTTGGGACTAGGACTAATCCTAGATTCTCTTTCTGTCAGACTGTGCTGCCTCTGGAGCATAATCATGTTTTTTTTTTAATTCAAAAAATGATTACCAGGACTTAGATGTTTATTTTATGTCTATCCTTTTCTTCCATTAGAGGAGGTGTAAGTGGGAACAGTGATTGTTGTGTTGTCTCCTGCTAATCCAGTGGTCCCCCTGGATTTTCTATTTTCCATGGTGGGCATTTCATTAATTGTTTACAATGCCTGTACTGTATTTTTATGGTGAAAATGTGTTGTACTAGAATCTCAGAAAGTCACTCCCTTGACGGTGGAGGGAATCTAATGCAAACATCCAGTTTTATAAAGTTCTAATGAACTGGTGATTTTCCCTTCATCTTATTTTTACTAATTATTTTCCTTCTCAGCCTTTCTTTTTACTCTTTCCCTGTTACTTTAGCTTTTCCCTTATTCTTTTTACTCACCCCTCTAAAATTCCCTCCTTGGAGGGAAGAGAAAAAGAGAAAAAAAATTGCATGATAATTTTGTTGTATATTTGAAAGGAATAGCAAGTTGTGCATGATAGATTTGCAATTTCATATGCTATCATATTTTTATTGTACTGTGTTATGAAAATGCTTGTTTTATTCCATAAATTAAAATTTTGTATATTTATTTATTTTATAGTAATATGTTATATAAATTATTATATTATATTACATAAATATTATATATTACACAAATATATTTATATATATTAAATATTTATAAGTATATTTATATAAAATAAAAAATCAGATTGATGAGCCATCAAAAAGAACCTTGAAAAATAGGAAGAGTTGGTAATCTGAGTGACAACAGTCATGGAGCTGGGGACCTACTGTTGGCTGTGTACTTTGATGTCTTGGAGGTACTATGTCTAAATCTAGACTTCAAAACTAAAAAGGGTTATGGAAAAATCATTATAGGAGACTGAAAAACAAACCTAGAAAGAAAATCTAAAGGACCTAGGATGATTCAATCTGTTGACAGAGAGAATTTAAATTCAATAATTGCCAATTCCTACTTTAATGCCTCAATGAAATATAGAAGTGATCCTTGTGTAATTGAAAATTATACCTGGGAATGAAAGCTTTGGCAGGACCTATCAGGTTGGAAAGGTTCCCAGTGTGTGTCAGTAATAAACTGTTGTTGTTTGTCCTTCGTTCCAAAGAAGACCAATGACATCAAGAGGTAATATCTTGACTCCTGTTTTAATTGGATTTAAATGAAGCAGGGTTGCACAAAGTCTCTGGCCTCACTCTTTCTTCCAGACTCATAGAAGTCCAGCAGCAAGACAAAAATGAGAATGACTGGTAATGGCCTGGGATGCAGTGGATGATGTTGCCATCTTCAACATCTGACTAAACTCTAAGCACTCCACAGCACCTGCTTCAGCTACCTCCATGAATGTTGGAACAAATTATTCTCATCCACCCATGCCACCAGGGGAAGTCTTAACATGCATGGAGTAGACATCCCCCTAACTCACTGATTGGTCTGAGGCTTGTCAGTCACCCTCAACCTGGTTCAGCCCATCTGTGGAGATGGTTTATCAGCGTGTGTCTGCTGTGCATGCTACAGCTTCTTGGGGCCAAAGTCAGAGTTAAGCACACCAAAGATTCAAAGAACTAGCTGAAGTTCAGAGAGTCTTATCAATAGTAGGCTGCCAACAGTTCATGATTTCTTTTTCATTTGTATGTATAAAGTTTTTGACTTGCATTAGTGGAAAAAGTAACCAAATTAATGAAATTATAGATTCTTTGAAGCATTAATGTAAAATAATGGGGAAAAAAGGAACAAAGGGGACCTAATAGTACCAGATCTCAAAATATACTAAAAAGTAGTAATTCTCAAAACAGTTTGGTACTGGTAAAATAAAAAATAGAGCTCAGTCAGTGGAACAGATTAGGTGCACAAATAAACATCATAGCTTACTGTTAGATAAATATAAAGACTCTAGCTACTAGGATAAGGATCAACTATTTGATAAATACTGCTAGGAAAATTGGACAGTATAGAAGAAATTAGGTTTAGAACCCGTAACTTATAGTAAGATAAGTTCCAATAGATACATGACCTAAATGTAAAAGGTATAGAAATAAGGAAAAATTAACTGTAAGATCTATGGGCAGGGGAAGAGTGCATGTCCAAACCAGTGATAGAATTACAAAAGCTAAATAAGATAATTTTGATTATATAAAATTAGGTGGGTTTTTTTTGCACAAACAAAGCCAATACTGCTAAGATTAGAGGGAAGCAATTAACTGGGAAAAATCTTTGTAGCAAGTTTCTCGCTGATAAAATTCTACTTTTCAAGATATATATGTAACTGATTAAAATTTATAAAAATAAGAACCATTTCCCCATTCATAAATGGTCTAGGAACATGAAGAGAAAATTCTCAAGGAAATAAATAAAGATTGTTTGTAGCAATATGAAAAACATCTAAATCAATATTCATTAGAGAAATGCAAATTAAAACAATTCTGAGATTTCTTCTCATATTCATTGGATCATCAAAGATGACAAAAAAAAGAAAAGACAAATGTTGAAAGAGCTATGAGAAAATAAGCATATTGATGCACTGCTATTGGAGGTGTGAATGAGTATACACATACTGGACAGAAATTTTGAATGATGCACAAAATGTTACTAAGAAGTGCATGTCCTCTGACCTAGCCATACTGCTTCTAGACCTATCAACCCGAGTTCAAACAAAAAAGAAAAAGGTCTTATATGTACAAAAATATTTATAG